TGTGCGTTTGGTGTAGTAGAGAAGCTTCCCTCTGGGTGGGGGAGATGGAACGAAGTATCGTAGGGAGTTGAGTGCCCATCTTGTAGCCATGTTACTCGTAAATGCGATGGGATACAGTACACCGGGGGGGATGGACGTGCGAGTCGACCTCAGAAACAAGACGCGTGAACTTGTGCGGCATGTCCTACCCCCGCATGCCAAGATTTGGTCTTGTACCACTGAACCAGTCTGTGGAGAAGATCATGCATATGTATGCAAGAAATAAACTACAAATCAAATGACAAATACCAGGTTCACTTATTTCAGGTCATACTGAACCATCGGGTGAAGGATGCCTCGATAAATACCATCTAAGGTAAAAATAACAACTCTCCTTTACTACCCGAAGCAGCCAATTCCGAGATATACGTGCTATCTCACACGGCCGAAACAGAACACATCACAGCCGTGTACTGCCGGTCTCGGGAGATCGTACTGTATCAGACACACTGCGGGAACATGCGAAACGCAGATCCAGGCGGAAGTGTCCGGGAAAGGGAAACAGGACATGTATTTGCGCTAGCGGATATTGTTCGAGGTGAAGAGTAGCGGTGCATCAGATGTGTTACAGATCCTAAGGCATAGGCATTTCCGCCGGCGTCTGTTAGGAAACTCTGCGAGTCAACCTGCGAACCCGGCGCCGGCACTAGGGACGGATTCTGGAGAAAACTGACGCACTCGAGAGTCGTGCGGTGTCGTGCCATCTTGAGTGGGTCGGAGGATTGCGCAGCGAAGCATATGCGTATGCAATGCTGGCTGGCAATAAGTACTAGTACTGTACAGTGCAGCGCAGAGCGGAGTAGAGCAGGGAGAACCCAGCAGTCTTATTCGGTTGCGAAGTAACACACGCTTCGATCCCTGGAACGCACGCACGCACAAGCACGCAGAAAGATAGCCGAGCACTGGATGTTTCCTTTGCCCGCTGATGCCGGAAGTACTGGTTACTGCGTGGAAGAGATCGGGCGAGTTTTGTTCTTTCATTTACGCGTCGCGATCGTCGTTGGGTACGTCTCCGTGGTCTGCGGGCGCAAGAGGATCGAAGAACACCGGGAACCTGAACCTTAGGATCGGACAGGCCTGGGCTGATGACGCGTCAGCAGCAGCGGCAGCGGTGATGAAGAGTAGGGCTGAAGCTTGATGAGGCCTAAGGCTGATGATACGATATCGCCGTGCCAGTAGATCAGGAATGGAAGCCTCTGGGATATCTATCTGCGCAGATCAAGCTCGGAGATGGGCCGAGCTTGGACTACTGGTACTGGTACTGGTACTGGTACTGCCGGCACTAACGTCCAGGTTCAGGCTTGATTGACGCCGCTAATTCCGCATGCAGGGGGAGCCACAGACCTAGATCTTATTCAGTCTGGGTCTTGAAACCCTGGAGGACCCGGCCTGAACCCTGCTCGCTGGGAGACGGACGTACTGTATGTACGGGGGATTCAAAAAACGTACGATTTTTCCGGGACGTTCACACCACCAGTTTGCCACAAGAGGAAAAAATAGGTGCGGGCGATATATGTGTACGTGTGTGCGGAGTGCGGCGTGTTTGGACGATCACGATGCGATGCGCTTGGCGACTTGACACTGACAGTACATCCGGGGGTTGACTTCGGGTTGGGAAGGGGAATGATCCAACCCCAACCCCAACCCCAACTTCCTCCAACTCCTTCAACAATTTTACGCCAACTCTAACTCGAGGTCAAACTGCATGCGCAGCAGCAGCTGCCGCTGCTGCGGCACACGGGGGCCAAGTACGAGTGCACTGCCCGAAGTCTGATACGCTCCCGCAGACGGCGCAGATGGCGCAGGGTTGCAACAGGTTTCGTGCGAATACGACAATTTGACAAGTGACGAGATGGGACCTGCTAGAGATCTGGTATGCTGGAGGGAGGTGGGATTCCGGCCTGGTGAGACATAGGGCGTAGCATAGGGCATAGGATAGGGCGCAGGGTGTAAGGTTATCATGATAATACAGCTATAGGTGGGGGGAGGATGGGCAGTTCTTCGGTGAAACATACGGGTTAGGTTCCCGTTGGAACAGGAGGGGGACGTCGTCTACGCCTACGATACGCACGCGTATGACAAAATCGAACGTTCTTCAAACTATTGATTGCAATGAATAATATTATCCATTAGGCAACGTATACGTATGCGTATCACGATGCGTTAACGTAAACGTAAACGTTGTTGTCGCTAAGGCTCAGGCTCTCGCTTGCAGAGGCCTAGGGCGCGGGGGCGGGGGCGGGACCTGTCGCTTAGCTCGTATAAAGTCGGTACGGTACGAGTACTGGAGTTTTTGTCCTGCGCACGAACCTGAGCAGGACGACCCGGAGGAATGGGTCTTAGGGAGGCCTAGGGTTAAACTTGGCCGTTGAGCATTCCAGGATGCAGGATTGGGGAGGATTGGATTACTGAATTACTTGTTATCGAGTCATTACATGATATGCCTGGGAAATCTAGGACTCGGACCCCGTAAGCTGGTGATGTCAGATGGTTATAATTACCATTTTGCCATAAGTGGAAGCAAGGGACGGCGGTGGCTAGCCGAAATCTATGGAAAGCCGATAGTGCGAGGCTCGTTTTTTCGGGCATTGCCTCCGTTTTCACACAGCCTTGTGTCGGACCCCAGTTTGTAGTAAAAAATAGGGATGATAATTATGTAAAGTTATGTAAGAGTACCTAACCCGAAGTAACCCTAACCTGAATAGTTCACGAACCTTAACCTGAAAATGATATAACCTTATATAATAAAAAAACATTAGTAATAGTAATAGTAATAGTAATTGTAATAGTAATAGTAATAGTAATAGTAATAGTAATAGTAATAATAATAGTAATAGTAATAGTAATAGTAATAGTAATAATCATAGTAATAATCATAGTGATAGTGATAGTGATAGTAATAGTCATAGTCATAGTCATAGTCATAGTCATAATCATAGTAATAGTAATAGTAATAGTCATACTCAATACTACTTCAGTCTTGTAATAATGTCAGTATTACTGTACCCACATGATCATATGTGATTTGCTTCTGACTTAGGGTCTGGAGCAGAAGCAAACAAACATGGTTCCATTAGGGTATTGGCCTGCAGCAGACCAATTCATGCCACTTTACTTGCACCAAAGAACAACCCCACCTCCGGTGGGGTGTGTCAGGCCAGTATTCCCATGGTTATTTGGACCCTTGGAGACTGTTGTGCTGAACAACCCCACCTCCAGTGGGGTGTGTCAGGCTGGTATTCCCATGGTTATTTTTGGGCCCTTAGAGACTGTTATGCAGCACTATGGACCCTTGCAACATGGACAATGCACCCCAGCAATGAGCCTCAGCCCTCCGGATATTTGGCATGACAACTACTGGTTTCCCCTGCAACAGGATTGACCCACATGGATATTTGGCATGCCAATGCCTGCCTTGGTGAGGTATCTAGACAGCAGGATAGTATTCAGCACAGCCTAGAGTAGCTAGTATAAGTAGTTTCCAGAAACTCCTGTATCTAGCTTATCCTGCCCCTTTTCCATTAGTGTTATATGGATCCAATTATCCCTTACTGGATAGGCAGACTTGACTTGACACATGCTACTTGACTTATCATGATTGACTGGATGGACACTGAGCTCCAATTTCTATGTACCAACTATTGATAGCTCAGCATTTGGCTGACTCCCACATTTCTACTGACTTTCCTCTCTCCCCCTCTTTCCCCAGCAAGTTCTCACACACCACCCATTGGACCCACATATTTGGACACCTGATATTTTGGACACCTCTTGGGTTGGATTAGTGCTCGAGGTCTCACCTGTTTGTTCATACAGTCATCACTAGTGCCTAGACTGTGTCACCCTCACAGAAAGTGTAGCAAGAGTTCTGGAGTCAAGGCAAGTTTATGAGAGCAGGGTGTTCAGGCATGTGTAGAAGGGGGTCCAAGATGATGAGATGACTTAGAAACTGCTTGTAGACTAAGGAGTTTCCTCAGAGATCAAATCTGAGGGATATGGTGTCACTGTACTACTGTTTATATACCTTGTAGTTGTTCACCAGACACCCAGGGGTCCAAGTAAATTCTGGGGACTCCTACAAGTGTCAGATAGATGTCCTAGCAACACCCCTAGGCCTCCCAAACCTTTTCAATAAATTGTGGAGACTCCTACAAGTGTCATCTTGCATCCCACTTGTCAGGGCACACCATCTAGCAAGCTTGAGATCTTGTATCAAGGGCAAAGCTCCAATCTTGGTGTAGCCCTGATGCCTAAACAACCCAATATTGAGTATACCAGAGCTCAGTTCAGGTTATCATGACACCAGGTGTAGTGAAGGGGAATAGTGAGGGGATGGTCAATATCATCAAACCATGTCAATATCCAGGAGCACTAAGCATCTTGCATGCTATCGAGTGTCTCATGTGTTCTTGAACAATATCATAGAGTCCTCGGCCATGACAGGAAAGGGGAGTAGGATTGAGACAGAATTGAGGGCATCAGTAATCCATCGATATGACCACTGGCCATAGACTGAATCTGCAAGCTGTTGACTTGCCATCAAGAAGGGGTTTTGTGAAGTGAAGAGGGGTGTGAGACTCTTGAATCAAGATATCATGAGGTGTTGAGAGACAGCTGCCAATATCATCATGACTCTCAGAGCATCAGTTTGCAGAGTCATGGATATCAGTGGGGGTTGACACCAACTGACAGGGAATGCTGACTAGGCTTTGTCCTATTGTGCATATATAGTGGAGTTCTGAGCATCAAGAAAGGCAGTACATAGTGAGCAAGAATGCAATACTGAGGGGCCTGTCCATATTGAGGGGAATCAGATGTTTGGCTGGGCCAAAGGTCCAATAGTGTCCTGAGATATCGCTATCAACCAGAGTTCAAGTTGTCCAAGAGGAGGACTTGGCATATTGGTCGAGCAATTGGCTGCTCAGAGGGGTACAACAAGTAAATCGAGGCAATTGTGAGTGGAGGATGCTCTCTTGATGTCGATATCAAAGAGAGGGTCACACTATTGAAGCACACTCAGCTTCTCAAGGGAGATTGGTCATAAGACCAGAATATCAACTAGACAGTGGAATTCCTGAGAGATCAAATCTAAGGAGTACATCATGATAATGGGCAACTCTATCTATGAAAGGGTTGGAAGTAATTTGAGATTGTGGCTGATAATCTGTACAGGAGAGGTTACCTCAGGGCAGACCTGTGTGGACTTCATGCCAATATGGTGATACCATCTCAATATTACCAATGAGCCAATATTGTGAGAACTTGCTTCTCAATGCCTTCTCAGTCTTCAATATTGCCAAACCCTGATATCGTGACTTCTCCAAGTTCCTGAGCAATCCTGATAAGTAGTCCCTGACATGAGATTGCATGTGATACCACAGGAAGGTGGTTGAGATAGGAGTGCACCCTGGTATGGTTGCTGTCAGGGCACCAGCTCATTGCTTGGTCAAGAGACATGACTAAGCCTTTATGACATGGAAGTAGCTGGTATACCTTGGCATGTGCTG